TAATAAAGAAGGTTCATTATTGAATGATTTCCGTTAGTTTGGGTTTTGATCAAATACGGGTAATTATTGGTAGTGTTTTACTAAACACACAAGACAGATGCAAAATAGAGACACCACAGCACAATGAGAGTATAGCTTAGGGAAGCTTTCGCTGCATAGCAACGGTGATTTGGACCAAAATCTTCTCTTTTGAACTTTTCTTTGTCTGGGAATTGAATCTAATTTCGACTTACTGCATTATTTGGATGAAAAGTAATCATTTTTATAAAGAAAAAAATGACAAAATTAACTTTTTTGGCAACCTGTATTGAGCGTGTGCCCTCATCAAATGTGRTGTTTATCGATTTTTTTCATCTTCAAAGAARCACTGATTTAGCATTTGATGAATATTCAACAATTTCTTATCAGCTCTAAGCGATTTGTAAGCTTCGTTAACAAAATAAGAATTTATGAAATCCTTCAGAACTCGAGATTATCAAAAGCTTACTTCTAAATATTAGCCTAAGTGGGACTTGCACATAATCAAACAATATCCATTACAAATAAATATATCCATTTAAGATTATTGAATCCCACTAAAATTAATTGTTAAAACATTCTTTTTTAAACAATAAAAACACTGACTTTGAAAGCAAATTAGTCGCTTCATGGACATTTTTCTATGTAATTTTAATTTTAAAAACATTGACTTTTTGGTACGCTTTCAATACAAAAACCACAAACTTTGTTAGCATTTATTCGGKGCAGAATTCATTCAAGAACWATGTTTCGTTATATACCAAATATACCCCAAAAAACACTGATTTTGACACGAAATATGTGCTAGACTTTGAAAGCAAATTATAGTCGATGCAGAATTCATTCAAGAACAATATTTCATTATATAACAAATTTCTMAATCAATAMTCGGCAAAAACCTTAAAGGCGAGGAGAAGCGTGCGGACAAAAAGGGAATCGTGAGCGAAGCGCGCTTTRTCGCACAAGTTTTCTTTTTTCTGAAAAGCTCACAAAAGTTGATTACATAACTAACGAGCAGTATGAAGTTGAATTAAAAACACAAGTTTTTATTTAATTCTATATAAACTTCTGATTGTAATCTATTGGCAATTCTTCTTCTACTGTATTAACAGTCTTGATAAGAATCAAATTATGATGTTGTCTTCATTGAATACGTTTTGGTAATTAAAGCTCCAATCAAGAGAAATCTTTTAACCATTTTATTTACATAATGATAGCTATCAAATCAAATTTGTCTTTATTCTTTATCAACACAATCAAATCTTCATTCAAATGGCAAAACTATGTTAGAAGCTTGAATAATCTGAAATTTGAATAGAAAAGATATAAAACGACGCCATGTGCCAAAAACTGGCTGGAATTAACATTTTCTGAAAAAGGCAAAGGATCAAACACTTAAAATACAACATGAAGCGAGGAAATTTACGGCCTGCGAACCTTGCTTATTTTTTACGAGATGATCACTTTTGATGATTTCAAACTGAAGTTTAATATAACACAATATAAAAAATCGTAATCATGTCTTTGTAATAACAATATAATTGAGTTATCCTAACTTTATTCAATACTTATTATAATGAATATTCATCATATTCGTGATCTTACAACTGGGCACCATACCTTGCCCTTTTTAGCCTTTGTAGCATAAACCTCAGCAACAACATTGATATTAAAGTTAATTTACCTAAAAGCTAAATTGTAAATTAATAAGAATTTCTTGCTTTCTTTCAGTTCCTATTCCCTTCCATTTACAATTTCAAAATCACGGTGGAATGAACCAATTAGGTGGCGCCTTCGTTAATGGGCGTCCTCTKCCTGATTACATTCGTCACAGAATTATYCAACTGGCAGCTTATGGCGTTCGTCCCTGTGAGATTTCAAGACGTTTGCTGGTTTCGCACGGCTGCGTCAGYAAGATTCTMGGCCGRTATTATGAAACTGGGTCTATAAGGCCTGGTTCCATAGGCGGAAGTAAGCCTAAGGTTGCCACTCCCCCAGTGGTGTCGAAAATTCTACAGTACAAGCAACAGAACCCTACAATCTTTGCTTGGGAAATCAGGGAYCGTCTCGTTGAAGAAGGGATTTGTGATCGTGAAAACACACCAAGTGTCAGCTCAATTAACCGAATTCTGAGAAACAAAGCCGCAGAACGGGCTGCACAGTTTGCTATGTTGGAACGAGAGAGACAACATCTTGCGAGTTTGTATGGACTACACCCCTGGGGGGCCGTGTCAGAGTCTCAAATCCAATGGGGTTTTCCAACGTACCACCATACGCAAACTGGAGAAGACGAAAGGCTTATACAACAAGACCTGGAGAGAAAAATACTTGCGGAATCGTATCCTGAAGAAATGGCGTCTAAGTCATCGGATTATGAAAGAGAAGAGTCTAAATTGGTATCCAGAGGTATGACTGACTATTTGAATCCTTTTTTTTTTGTCTAAATATTTTAACATATACATCAATGAAACGATTTTACAAAGCCTTATAGCTTGCAATTTTTGAGGAAAAAGAAAATACTGAAAACGGGGTCCCAAACTTCAAATGATGGTTTATATAACTTCAATAACTAATACAGAATGTTTTCAAAATTCAAACTAAACCACTTTAAAATGTTTACCCACAGAAGAATCAACATTAGCAACAAGAGAAAGCGAGAAGCAACCTACAATAGAAGATCGAGAGTCATTCATCGGAAAAACGAACCATGAACGAAGCTTTCACGACGAGGCCGATTACCCTCACGACCACGACGACGACATCAACATCAAAGTCGACGACAACAGCACGAACGACAGCAACTCGGTTCACGACGTCAGCAGTGACGACGAGCGGACGAAAAGCGACGATATTCAAGCGAATCACAAAAGAAAATTGAGACGGAACAGAACAACSTTCAGCCCTGACCAGCTGGAAATGCTAGAAAAAGAATTTGAAAAATCGCATTATCCCGATGTTGCAACCAGAGAGGAACTGGCCAACARAATTGACATGTCAGAAGCCAGAGTACAGGTGGGAAAATATTCACTTGCAATTTTTCTCTGTACTATGTTTTAACATTGCCATTTTGAAATCTATTGCACTCGAAAAGATATCATGAACGCCCGGGGAGTCCTTAAAGAGAAATGTTTGAACTCTCTACAAGTTTAAGAATGAGATTTCCAATTTTAGTATCAACTGTGAAAAGTAGACCCATGTTTTTATGGTTGATCTCTAACACAGATATTTAGCCCATGATTGCAGCCGTATATAACACGAAAACCAATAAAATTTCATGGAATTAGAAAGACTATACTAACTGATTATCCATCTATCTTTTCTTTAGGTCTGGTTTTCAAATCGTCGAGCAAAATGGCGTCGCCATCAAAAAATCGCCAACATGCCACACATGGGCCATCATTCCTTAGTGGGCAGCTGTTTCCCCATGTGTCGTGAATGCGACATGGCTGATAGACAATGTTCCATGATTGGCAGTCATTACGACCAAACTCTGAATTCCTTGGACATGATGGCGAGAAGAGACATGGCATCAAGCTCGACGTCAACATCAATGATGCACTCAGAGACATCGAGCGGAGGCTGCGGACAGGAATGTTCTTGTTCCCGAGTTTAGCACTTCATGATCTGTAATCTACGATTACGGATGCAACATTTCTTGTAAATATAATCCCATTAAGACTGAGAAGGACATTGTGGACTGTAAATTTAAACAAAATGGTCATACAAAAATATATTCAGTCAAAAAATGCGTTTTTTTCCCCAGAAATTTGAAATTCAATATGACAATAATCGTAAAATGAATAGATGCATTATGAAAGGAAGAAACCTAAGAAAAGAGATTTATTGTTGAGACACATGTGATAGCTCAAATACAAATTGATCACGTGATCATCGAATTGTATAATCTTCCATATAAGGTTATTAGCAGAACAGTAGATTTTACTAAAATAAAAGGTCTTTTGACAGTGACTATTGACTGGTTTTATATTCATAAAGTAGAGGTTTTCACAAGCACGCGAAATCCAACTAAGGTCCGAAAAGTCAGTAAGCTATAATTTTCCATACTTTTTGCGTTGTAAAATTTATTTACGATTAACACATGACTCACTATTTAATAGATTAACAGAAAATTTGAGTGTCTCAAAATTATACAATTATTGGACCAATAAAAAGCAATAATAATCACTAATTTGCACACTGTTCTTTCACATTTTGTGCAGCAAAGCATGATGGTAGTTGTCTCGTACTGTTAAAGTCCGCTAAAAAGTCCTTGTGCAATGTTTTTTCTTCTTCTTTTTCTAAAGCCGAAATAAAAGTAGTTTTGCCGAAGAAAAGAAGCGTAAAAAATGCTGTTAATGAGATATTTTAGGGTCTATGTTAAGTCTGAGGACTACATCTACCAGATCATTCTTTGCTGCAAAAAAATGGCGTCTCTGCATATTTCCTATTGCATAACCAAAAGATAAGAATTACATAAAACGAAGCTACCGAAAAATGCAAAATCACAAAATTTGCATRTAAAAGAGTTCAATAGTGAACGACTCRAGGCCATTCAAATCATGTCAGAATTCGAATGCTATTGACCATAGAGTARACGAGCAGAAGACTAGAAATGCCATGTTTTTATAACTTTGTTTTCACGATAAGAAAGARCATATTTAAACTAGTGAATTGGCATATTTTTAGTTCAAATGGTAAAATATCGGCAGAGCTAYGAGGATTTAAAATGTACCAAAAWCGTGAAAACAAGGCTGGTAAGGCCTCAATACTGATTTTCATCGAAACCTTTGCAATTTCAAACACCTGTAATTTCTGGTCCTTAAATGTTAGAGCATTGAAACTTTCAGATCTCACTCATTATAATATGTTCTTTCAACGGGTAGTAATGATACATTGTACAACTTACAAACTCAGGCGTTACGATAGCCTCGCCCTTTTTCATAAGGTCCATATAAACTCAACAAAGAAACATTCACATAACATTTTTTCCAACTTTTTTATTCCAATTTTTCATGTTTACATTATGTCGATTTTTCCATTTCCTCGTCTTCATCTTCGTGTAATTCACTAGGTTGGGCTGTTGTTGTTTCTTCACCGTCAACTGGCTTCTTTTTCTTTTTTGACGAACCTTTCTTCTTTTTCTTTATTTTCTTCTTCGTTGGTTCGACACCTGAAAAAAAAGACACATTAATCTGGGGTTTGCTAAAAGCTTTTGGGAAATGTTTTTTACAAAGAAAAAAAAAACGCATAACAAGTACCTTTGCATTCGATACAAGTCCTTTCGAGAAAATCATCTACTTCAAGGTAACATCAAAGCTACACAAAATCTTATGAATGGCGGACAAAAAAATACCTCGTTGGGAGGTGGGAGGGGAAAATCTCTGTCATTCTGTTTGATTGCTATTTCTAGCAATAACGCTATAACTTCCTATATCTTGGCCAATTGTCTCTATACGGATAAAGCAGGCAACTTGCTAAATCGAAATTGGCGAGGGATTTCCTTTGGTAAAATGGGGAAGAGAAAATGCGACTACAAAACTAACACAGGACTCCCGTTTGTTCAGAAAGTACAACAAGGGATTTGATATCTCCATTGAGTACTTCTTCGAAGTCATCAAACTACTAACGCGCAGGCTTGCGTGGCGATTTAAATACTCTCTCACAATATGTTTTACCTGAATCTCGAGGTCTTTGTTCACTAATGTCATGGTCTTCTTGCTTCTCTTGGACTTTCTGTTCTGTTTCGGTATTCTTTTTAGAATGTGAAAGTTTTCCGGGATAAGAAACTGTTAAGCATGTCGGTCGTCCATTCATTTCATATCGAGCTAACAAGCTGGCTTCTTCTTCGAACTGTAAAACAGAAAAAACAACACAACGTTAAAGGCCTAGTGTGTATCATTATGCTTTGGGAGCCGCGAGGGCCGTGAGGCGGCCATTTTCAGTTTACCGAAAGTCTATAAATTGTACTGTGTGTTTCAAATCTTTGACCATCTCAGTTTTCTAAGCTAATATAAGAGTTTTCAACCATCTGAAATTCGTTTTATGGTGATATTTGGATACTAGAAGTATTTTGGTGCAAATCATCACAATAACAGAGGCGCGCAAAGCACAATGGTGCAAACACAATTCTCAGTGTCTATTTAGCGTGGGATCATTTTGAAAAAGGTCTGGTGAATTGCTACGGGGCGAATTAGACGGCGCATCCTTACAACATGGCTACAACTGCCGTGGGGCATTAAAAAATTATTGTTAATCCCTACAACAGTTATGGATATGTTGTAAGGATGACTTACGCAGGTTGCATGCGATGGCTGTAGACAAAAGTTGTGCCGTATAATTCGTCGTTAACAATGATAATAATAGGCAAAGCATATCGACACTATTCCTTTCCAATAAAGAAATATTAGTATATCTGGAAAAAAACTCAACTTACATTGTCTCGATTAAAAGACCACGCCCTTAGATCACCATCCGATGAAACAGAGAAGACAAGAAGACATTTGCTGTCTTCGTCTGGGAATGGATTACAGACAACCTCGATTGCTTTGACTCTACAAATCACAGAAAAAAATCACATCAGTACCAAAGCAGGCTGTTTTCACTAGCAAACGATAAGCAGAGACAAATAGGGAAGACCACTTGCGCATCTGTAAAATTCAGTGTTCGGAGGGAAGCGGAGAGGAATATGAAAATTACATAAATGTAAAATATAAAATATAAAGTGGCTCATGCTTGAACCAGCAAACGGAAAAGGAAGTGATCAAGGAAACAGAATAGTAAATGAAAACGTTTTGTTCTACTAGCTTCAGTACTTCTGCCTCCTTCTTTATATCTACTTACTCCGCCCTACACAAATTCTCTGAGGGCCTCTACTACGATTATGACACTAGCCGTACCGTCGTACCATCCACTTACACCGTCCTACCCCAATAGTCAACTTTAGATATTTTGGTTCGATGACTATGTACAAAAGAACGCACACGAGGCTCCGTGAAAACAATGGATAATCTTGATTTATTCTCTTATTTCTCCGGAGCCTCGTCTGCAATTCTTTTGTGCATGGTCACTGAACCAAAATATATAAAGTCGGCTATAATTCCATGACTCCCTTTACTACAAGTACGGCACTAGCCGCACCTACGTGTGGTTTACATTTGCTACGCGACCAGTCGAGATCCTATGGTAATCCAAACACTGCGTGTACAGAAAAGACAATGAAAATGTATGCTTGATTGAAGCTAAGCTTGCACAAAAGAGAATTCGAAACTGGAGTGTTAGCAATAGACTGATGTCAATCAACTTGAAGTGCTTCGGCGCCAAACTATRGTTTACTTGAAAATTGGGTTGAYGGCAGTCTAWAGCTAATTGTACGTCGTGAATTTCTTCAGGGATAGTGTCGAGAACCATYACAAACGATGGCAAATCATAAAGCATCGATACTATTTGGACACATACCTGCTCTCATGRCCGGACACTGTCTGGATACAAGTTTCTTTCTCGATATCAAAGACTCGAATGCCATCAAATTCACCACCTGCCACGAGGTACTTTTCCTGGTAAAGATAAAATACATTACAGCCAAACAAGACCAAAGCCATTAAAGCGAGTGTAGTATTGAATTGAGGGAGGTGTTTATTTGAAGGGGAATCATTACATAATCACTTCGAGGTAACAAACAATTATGATATAGATGTATAGTTTAAATGTTCTGATAGGTCCAAGAGCGTGATTTATTAATGCAAGCTCGCGAGCATAACTAACTTTCTGTATCATAAAAGTAATAAAGGATGGTTTGCCGTACGTTTAACAGTTAAATAAAGCAAGTAAATCCTTCCTGTATTGCTTAAATAACAAGGACACACATCTGATCATGAATTGGGTTTAATCAAGATTCTCATAAAATTAGATTAAATCAATTTTAAACTAATAAATGCTCCAGTGAAAATTCAAATCAAATTTGCATATAGATGCCTTAATTCTGAATGGAGAAATAGTTGTCTCGCATACTAAGTTAACTTAAGAGCATTGCGTTTTTCGTTGTATTCACAAAGGTACTGAAATTCTCAAAAGATTATGAGAGACGATGATATGATGTTGTTTTGTTTTGTTATCAAGAATTAAACGGCCGTAAATACAACGGAAAGAGCATGCGCAAGGGCGTTGGGTGTACATTCCCACCTGGTCTTGACCAAACCATAATAACTGGGCTGTGTAGACAGACAAACGGTCCCACCCCAGGGGTCAATCTAAGCTAATATGGTATATGTTAAAAGATTGAATCTATGATCCATCTAATATGGACATCTAAGTCATTTCCATAAAACTCTTTAGTCTTTTAGTCTCACTTTTATCCATTCATCGCCTATACTTATCACTTTGTTTTGATTTAAAAATTTTGAACTAATCTAATTAATCTTATAAATTAATAAAATCGGCGCTYCTTCAACACATTGGTCTYGGCAGTTTTTGTCCTGGGGGTGGAGAAATTCCATCCACATCAAAAACTTTGTCATTGCCGGGACAATACTCGAACTCTTTGTAATAGAAGCCAAGGGTACGTCTCTCAGCAAAGGAATTCAGTGATGGACTTGCTGGTTTAAACGTAATCTGTTTCCCAGTGCTGTCCTCTACAATGATCTGKACACTATCAYCATCACCAGGGGTACCACGAAACAAATATCGAACCGTGTGATCTCCCTGGAATTTTTCTAGTTGTACAATGTACCCAACACCACTTTGGACTCGACCAATCTTTGTATCCTTCATTTCAACGCCCTTTGGGAGCAGGATGGCTAGGATGTTTTTACCTCCTTTGTCGTATATTATATCTTCACCTTTGTCGAGAATTAMAGAAAAGCTATCGTGGCCCTCTCCTGAGAGGACGCGGTTGTCACCTGTTGAGAGCTGTGCAAGTAATGGAGTGCTGGGATGCTTGTTGATCACAAAGTCATGCTTAGGTCCACCGGTGACYTCGATATAATCACTTTTTCCCCCTTCATTCTTAAAGAAGAAGAAATTGTTATGATCTTCGCTCATTTCCACCCTCTCGAAATTTGAGAATTCAATTTTTTGTGCAGTTGAATATGACGCGTCATTGAAAAACTCTACGTCTGGTTGAGAGAACTGAGAACGATATTCATCGATTGTTGAGCCTTTTTCAATAAGAAGGATGCCATTATGATTTTTAACGCCTTTATATTTTCGCAAAGAAAGTACRTCAAACTGGGTTTCTCCGCCAATGAYTGAGTCGTCTTTTTCAGCATTTGTTCTTTGACCTTCATACACAACGCGTTTAGGCTTCTGATTACTGGGATTCTGGKAAGATAACAAACGAGTYATCAAGTCAACGCTACCTTTATCCTTCTTGACAATGACCAAGTCAAGACCAACTCCAATCTYGATAGAATCGCGACCTTCTCCTCTTACAATCAGAGTATTTTCTCCAGTTGGAACTACAACTTTGTCGTTATTTACAATGATAGTATTTTGACCGGGTCCAGCATAGATTATGTCCCTTTCTGGACCTCCACCGCTCAAGAAAGATTTGCTGCTTGACAAAGTTGCCAAAGTGTCAATGTCGTCGTTTCCCTCTCCTCCATCGATCTCCACTCCTTTTTCACCGACATTTTGTTCCAAAACAAATTTGTCGTTCCCTCCCATTCCATAAGCTTCACAATTGTCATCTAAAAGAACTTTATCATTGACATTGTTGTTTCCCACGAAAATCAACCTATCGGAACCGTGAGGTACCGCTTTGGGGCAAAACGTGTAGTCCTCGGCGGCTTCACTTGGACAGTCGACAGGTTTTTTAAAGTCATTGGTGTAAGTTGCCACAAACAAAGAAACAGGAGAGAGTTGGTCAGAAATTCCGAACTTATTTCGGACGTCACGTTCTGCTTTCCATCCTTTCACACTGTAATGGTCCGTTTTAGAAAAACTCGGGAAGGCGAATAACACTTTTTTGGGTTTAATCAATTTGACGGTTTTTTGTAAACTTTTTGCCACTTCTTCCTTAAATTTGTCTAAACGATTATCGTGAACCAGGAGTGCCAGAAACCTCAATATAACTTGCCATTTGGATAGCTCCGAAGTTCCTTCAATCTTATCGGTTATCGCTAATTTTGCCATTATCATAGCACCAAAATAATGTCTTGTGAAAAGAAGGTGGTAGGCTTCAATGTAATTTCCCTTGATAGTTTGATCGATGACATCMACAAGAGTTCCGAACGAGGGATCTGGTATCAAAGGTGTAAGAAATATCTTGACGTAGTCCTTGGCTTCAAGATTTGAAGTATCCACRAGGCCTTGAGCGACYGCGGTTCCATACGAAACAAGGTAAAGCGTTGCACCTATTGCATACCCCACTGGWCCAGCAACACTACTCGCACTTGCAATGATTCCAGTTATTCCCATGGTCACGTCMCCAGCCAAAGCCGTGACGGAGCTTGTTAAACCCAAGATGTTCCCATTRGTAACTTCMTCATTGAGCGCCATAGAGTTTACAACGGTATTATAGCCATTGATGGCAGCATCAAAGAAATTCCCAGCACCAGCTTTGAATGATCGAAACTTTAGTGATGTCTTTCCCCATTTSGYTTCGAGAGCGTCAAATACTCCTGARTKAGMCAGAGCCAAATCCACCGCGCTACCAAGATGGCCTCCAGTTTGAGTTGAAAGATAAGCTTGGACCTCCTTGAGTTTATCCAGGAGAGACTTGTCCGCCCACAGAGATTTGTCTTTTAGTTTTTCTTTCAACAGCCATAATATGTTCCTCACAGCATTGAGCTGTTGAAGGCCATTGTGAAGTTTATCGTTTGTAGGGTTCGGCTTCCCMGCGAAACCAGCCGCTTTGTCGCTCTTGATGACATTGATATTTTGAAGKGCCTCGGTGAGCGTTACCGCAGCATCAACAGTTGCTAGTGATCCAACCACAGCGAAATTCCTGTCTTCAAAACTTGCCTTCATGTCGGGTTGCGACGCTTTCACTTCTTCGATATATTTTAAAAGGTTTTCTTCGTAGGTCATCTCCGCTCGACGACGCACTAATTTCATCGCCTCTTCATTGCCGTTAACACGTCCAGGTAAAGATATATCGGTATAAACATGAATTGCCTCTAAACGCTCAAACTCGCTCTGCATTCCTGGGATTATCCCAAGAACAAGAACAAAAACGATGAACATCATAACATTGAATCGGTTATTTCGAGTTCAAACCAAAAAGATCACTCCCGGACAACGTTAAGCTTACGTATTTTGCCGGACCTCAGGGAAAAGGTGTTCTTTTATATCTAATAAGTTAAAAACCGAAACAATGTCCGTCAATTTCCATGACAAATATTAATTAATTGGTCCTTCAATAAAGTGTATCGATGATGAAGCTAATTTAATTAAGAAAACTTATAAATTACACATTAACTATTATATGAATCCGAGCATCCCTTGCAGGTATTATCCGACAAATTAATTTGCTCTTTAATTAAATGACAAGAAATGAACGGCACTGATTTTTATGAAACTAAAATATTTCCAATCAAATTATTTTTCGCTCGGAATTCGCCTTCATATGTCCTTCCTGAACAGGTTCCTCTTTATTGCAATACGACATTTTCTAGGGCCTCCGCCGTTATTTTCACAGTATTTCCAGATCACTTTTAAGTTTACAAAGTAACTATCAACAAATGAGAGAATTTTAAGTTTCTTTTGGAAATTATGTTTACGAAGTAGCACTTGAAAACTAAACTATTTTGAGCACTTTTGAGAATTTTGTGCGAAATTGAGAAACAATTTACTATTTAAAAATAATTAATTTTTATCAAATTGTCAAAACTAGAGATTGACAAGTCCATGGATGAAGAAAAGTTAATAAATAGATACCAGTAAAGGGGCAAGAACGAGTATATGATACACCTGCTTTGAGCTTGTCATATTAAAATGATTCTACGAAAAAAGACGCGTGCTTGTGGTTGCTTGTGCCATTTTCCTGTATTTCGCATTGTTCTTCTTGTTCCTAATCTTCCCATTAAGTTACCTCTCATTGCAATAATCAATAGCTGTCTCTACCTGATTCTTCCTTGCAATTCATTGAGAACACAAGGAAGAAAACGCCATTAGTTGTATACTATACCGTGACACAAGCAAATTCTTGCTGTAAAAGTACTGACTAAACACTGACCTGCCACGTTTGACTATGATTCTAAAAGTTGATGAGTTATTTTTATTCTTATTCATGACACAACATCTAAAGCAGCTGTTATATATTCTTTATCCAAAATTCTTTATCCAAAACAAACCACAAAGACACTCAACAAGTAAGTAAATAATAAGAAATCAGGGGGGGAGGATTCGGAAAATTTTCAGTCAGAATAAGCATGAATGTGAAAATATCATTCGTAAAGGTAATAAAATCGATAGTGGCCAGGCATTACAAAGTTCGCGCGCATGATATAGAGTGCACGTCACATAAGCATGAAACAATTCTTAATATGTATTGCTAAATAACAAGGGGCCGTTTGGCGTGCGCATGCGCCAGTTTGTTGAAAATTCATTGAAATTCATTAGTGATTCACTTCAAGCGAGAAATTACAACGACACGAAGGACAATTTCCAAAAATGT